TATATAATTGAATTAAAGGTCAGACGCAATCCCGCGCTATTATCCTACGTGGCGTAAAGCGCGCCCCAGGAGTCGCGCTTTACACACGTGGCGCCAGATCAGCATAAAGCGCGCTGTAGGGGACGCGCTTTACTGCAAAGGGTGTTAGATCGAGAAAAATAGTCTGAAGGGTACCTGACAGGAAAAATTAAATGGAAAAGGTGATATATCGAGAAAAACGCCATAAAATAAATTGAATTAGAAAAACCGCCTCTATAATAAAATTCTATAGTATTCAATTCAAATTATTCTATTAATAAATCAAATAAAAAAAACAAATATTTTAATATGATTTATTATATTGCGTTTGGATCTTGATTATGGCTATCCAAATAAGTCTATTTAATGCGTTTTACCTTCTCATGTATATATTTTCCCGAATCATTATCTTTTATTTAAAAGACATGTCTGGTTAGAATATCGAATAATAATAAATGCACATGGGATTGACCAAATCCTGATTGATTGGATCACTTGACCCATTCAAAATAAAAATGTATACACACATTGCTTTATCCAAAGCACATCCAAACATAAGAAAATTATGGGTTTTGCCCTTGGAAATCAAGCTTCTTCGACACTTGTTGGGCTTTGCAATGCATGCATCAATTTATTTATTTTGCCCTCCCATTTTCCCGGATTATATTCCGATTAATTTTGATTGATTCATATAACATGCTTAATTTTGATAGGTGAATCTTCTATCGAAGATTTTATACATACAAAATATCTCGAACTCAATACTTACATAAATAATATCAAATTATTTACCACTTAAATCAACCGGTTAATACTTTATTTCTTATTTGATTATGTAAGAATTGACTATGAATACTACCCCAACTACCCCATTCCTTTGCCAATCATGGCTTTGATTTTCTTTGTTTCATTTTCCAGTAACTCAACAGTTGCATTACTGCTGTTGCAATGGCACACACCAAAGAAGCCAAGCGTCCGTTAGCCAACTATCCCCAAGACATATGGGATGATCATTTTTTGTCTCCTCACTTCAATAGCTCGGTAATTTATTACTCTACCATCAAATTTATTTATCTTTTTTAAAATTATGTATAAATTTTCAAGTTGTATTGAAAAACTTTTAAATTGACTCATATATGTACAGACATTTGAATCGTACACAAAACAAGTGGAGATATTAAAAAAACGATAAAAGATATGATTGTGGTTTCTACAACTGATACGATAGAGAAAATGCATCTAATTAATTCTTTATGTCGCCTTGGAGTTTCATACCATTTTGAGAATAACATCGATCAAGAATTAAGTCATCTTTTCATTACGTTACCTAAACTCCTTGAAGATAAGAACTATGGCTTGCATACAGTTGCTTTGGTATTTCAAGTTTTCAGGTTCAATGGTTACAAAATGCCTTGTGGTATGTACAACATAATTCATAGTTTATATTTAAACCTCAAGATCAGTAAATTCGTTTCTTTCTCCTTAGATTGAAACCTCTTTGATATAACAAATAGATCATTGATAATTAGTGAATTTTGAATCACAGGCGTCTTTAGCAAATTCCGAGATGATTATGGAAAGTTTAAGGAAGAATTGATTGAAGATGTGAAGGGGATGATAAGCTTATATGAAGCGAGCCATTTCAGAACGAACGGAGAAGCAATTCTAGAGTTTTACAAACAAGCACTTACGGTCATTGGCGAACCGATCATCAACAAGTCCCCATCTCAGAGTGTACATTGAGAGTGCGTTGTTTAGTCCATACCGCCATGGCATGCAGAGATATGAAGCAATGCTCTACATCTCTTTCTATGAGAAAGATGAACCCGGGAACGATACATTACTCAAGTTCGCCAAATATGACTTCAATAGACTACAGCTTATGTATCAACAGGAGCGTGTGATCAGTCTGTTGCCATTACCTAATATGCTAACGTCGCTTAATTAATTAATACTAAGTGAACACGTGGCATGTCTATTTCACGTCAGCATTTTAAGAAGAGAAAATAATCTCAGTGACCAAAAATGCCTTATAATATACGATTTTAATCAATTTTTTTTTGAATTTGCCAAAATGACCAATTAAATCGCAATACGATTGATAATTCGCAACGCGATCTCCGATATCGCAAATCAGTTTCCAGACCACAACCACGACCCAAGACGGACGGCGACGGCGGCGGCGCACGAGAGTCCCCCCTTGTTCTCTATCACTCAACAAGGAAGTGGGAAAGCCAAGCCTTAAATACCATTCCCAATAGTGTTTCCAATACTATGTGGGATTGAGCATTACCAACACTTGTTCCCAATACTATGTGGGATTGAGCCTTAAATAGTGATATTATTTGTGAATTATAGTTAATGACTTTAGTATTTGTATGAAAAGTATTTGTGGTTCGTTTAGTTTTCATGCAATTCTAATTTATTTTCAATTGATTGTAATTGCACGATAACAATTTTTTTTATTCTCGCGAGTGATGCAATTTTTTTGAATGTTTTGCTTAAAATTGCAATAATCGCGATTGATTGTAGATTGACTTTTAATTATGACATATTTAAATCGTATAATACTAATGCAATTGGTTGCTGATTCAGTTATTTTAAGGTGCATGATTGTTAATTGTTTCCTGAATAATCACATAGTATTGGAAACAAGTGTTGGTAATGCTCAATCCCACATAGTATTGGAAACACTATTGGGAGGTATTTAAGGCTTGGCTTTCCCACTTCCTTGTTGAGTGATAGAGAACAAGGGGGACTCTCGCGCGCCGCCGCCGTCCGTCTCGTGGTCGTGGTCGTGGTCGTGGTAATACGTGTCTTCGACACGTCCGCCAGTCGTTGCGAATCTGGAAACTGATTTGCGATACCGGAGATCGCGTTGCGAATTATCAATCACATTGCGATTTAGTTGGTCATTTTGGCAAATCCAAAAAAAGTTGGTTAAAATCGTATATTATAAGACATTTTTGGTCACTGAGGGTTATTTTCTCTTTTAAGAATATTTGACATGCACAACACCGTCTGTTAATTAATGTTGTAGGTGGTACAAAGAACAAGAGCTGAAGTCAAAAATTCCTTATGCAAGACACAGTGGTGGAGTCATTGCTCTATGCTATTAGCTTGTATTTTGAACCGCGTTTTGCAGTTGGGCGCTTCATGTTAGTGAAACAAGCATGTTTGATAGCTTTCGTAGATGATACCCACGAGACGTATGAATTATATGAACCTCAATGTCTCACAGATGCCATCCAAAGGTTTGTTTATTGATTTCTTCACTTTCTTTTTCAAACGAAAAACATATCATCATGTATATCATATATCATTTTGTAAGATTGATTGCATGAACCATGCATGCGGGTTAAACCATGAGCAACCCCCTCCCCCCTTTATTCTAAATTTAAAATATAAATATTTCAAAGTTAGGGATATGGTATGCTTTTATGTCCAGATTTGATATTAGTGCGATGGATGAGCTACCTGCAGATAGCAAAAGAATTGTGTATGAGACTCTGCTAAATGCTTAAAAATATAATCACCAAACTGCTTATCGATCCAATTCCACTCGACCAAGAATAACGAATGCATGTTTTATGTATTAGTAATTCATGGATTTGGCCCTATTCACAATAAGAAGAAAAGTATGAATCATATGGTAATAAATTGAGAGAATAAGATGTACTTATGGACATGGTTTTATTTATAAATTAAATTATAAAACTATATAGTTGTATCTCCGTGAAACAAATGAATTTGCCCTAACCTCTATCTTTTCAACCTACAATATGGTGATAATTTCGATCCATGCGAGGAAAAATAAATCATTATGAATATTTTATTAGGTATAATTAACCCGTTTATTATTATTTTTAAAGTGTATGCTTATCTAAGTTTTTTATTTAAAAAAAAAAGTTTTCAATTACATTATATAATTAATGGTCTTATTATTTTTCAAAAGAAAAGAAATGCAAAACATGTAGAAATTTCAAAAGTTTTAAAACTAATTTATTAGGTTTCGAAATCTCACGCATTCATTTGAAATCTTTTTAAATATTCATAAAAATACAAAAGAAACCATAATTATATGGAAAAAAAATGAAAGAGTGGGATTGAGAATAAAGAGAAAATAGAGGAAGAAAATGAGAAAATTAACATTAAAACATACATATATAGAGAATTTCATATAATCAAGTCTGATATATAATATTGGCATTTTTATAAATATAATAAATAATATATTTAAGACGGGTGGGAGCAGATCGTATCTAGGGCTGTTCATTCAGTTAATTCAGTTAATTCGGTGGCCGAACCGACCGAACTACCATTAACCGAATTAACCGATTTTTTTTCCTTTAACTGTTAACCGAATCAAACTTTTTTTCAAAAATATTAACCGAACCGAATAAAGTTCGGTTAATTTTTGAATTAACCGGAATTTTTTAGAATTTTGAATTTATATAAAAATAAAATATTTTTTAATTTAAAAAAACAGTTTATAATTAATTTAAATAATATATAATTATAAAATAAAATTTTTATATAAATTTTCTAATTAATTAATATTGATTTAAATTTAAAAGTTATTGGATCTTAAATTATTAATTAGGTTTTAAATGGTTTGGGCTAAGCCCATATGTTATATATAATATATTTAAAATTTAATTTCGGTTAATTAACCGATTTCGAACTGAATTAACAGTTAACCGAATTCTAAAAATTTTCTTAACCGTTAACCGACCGAACTAATTCAGTTCAATCGATTAACCGAATTAGTTCGAAAATTTGAACACCCCTAATCGTATCTAAATTTGATCCAAAAACTTTTAAAGTAAAACCGATTCGAAACTCAATTTCAAACCAAAATGATCCAACCAGATCGAGTTGATGCGAAGCCCATCAGTTCTAATAATCGGCCTAGTTGGTTTTTGCTGAGATTAAAAAGGCCTTTTCGTTTTTCAATCGCTTCCAAACTTCGCAGTCTACACCCTAAAGCTAAGGCCCCTTCAGGCTTCTCTCTCAACTATCAAAGGCTTCTTTCTTAGATATTTTTCCCTCCATCTACAACTCTGGTAATTTTCCCCTAAACCCATTTATTGAAATGTTCCTATTTTTGCTTGCTTCTCGAGATAAATAGTAAATGTATATATTACGTATTTTCATTGTGGGTTGCTATTTTTCATTCTTTTCGTTTAATCCATAGCTGATTACATTGTTGAGCTCCAATGGGGTTGTTAAAATTTTAAACTATATCTTTGAACATTTAGTGTGATAAAGAGTTGAGGCTGTGTATCTGTTTACAATCTTTCCTGTAAAGATTTGTTGAAAAATGCGACATGTTGTCCGCGAAGAAATGGCTTTTTTCGTAGGGAAGAGAATGTGTGTGTGGAGTAAGTTCGTAATTAGCATACCCAAAACTGATTCTTAGATTTGGTGGGAGAGGAAAAAACTGTTGTTTCTTCACTTTATTGGATGGGGTACTCTCTCTATTATTGATATGAATTGGTGTTGATTTTGTGGGTCAAACATGGAAATACGGAAAATAAGTTTTCCGGTTGTCTTTTGGGCATGTTAAGATTATTTGTAAATTGGGTATTAGAAGACTATAAAATTGTTTAATGCAACATTGCGATACTAGTTTTATTTAGTTGAATGAAGACTGAATTCCATTCTAGAGAGTAAGTGAACTTTCATAAAATTCGTTTGTTTTGATGGTAGAATCAATTTTTTACTTTTGAATAGACTATGATATCTGAATGAATCTCAGTCCTATGTTAAGTTACAATTGGGTGGAGGAATGGTGTTTCTTGTTCTGGAAAATTTATTACTTTTGGTCCTCAGTTAGTGTTGCTTGATTTTCTCTTTCTATAGTGATCCCATTTTTTAACTGATTTATTTATTTTGTATATCTGAATGAATCATGCCTGCTTATATGTTTTAATTTTCTTTTTTCATTTTGCTTTACATTTTCAATGTAGCTGAATCAGGCTTAAATATGACGGTTTTTTTTTGGACAGCAGTCTTGTGACTCTTTTCTGATTTGAGCAAGCACATTACTTGATAATTTGCACCACTTTGTAAGCCTCTTTATTATCATTCAGAAATCACTTTTGCCTTTCTTTTGAAATATACTGCTTAATTATTCCTTAGGCGGAAATCTTTAACCTTGCAATCACCTTTGGGTATTATCTATTGACACGGGTTCAATTGAAATACATTATCTGAAACTCCTTGTAGCTATCATTTTCCTCAATATGTTTATACTTCTTTCCTTGAATTCTTCTGGCCTCTGTGCCTTCTTCAGAATTGCCTTGCAAGCCTGTTTATATATATTCATAAAATGCCAAAGGCACGTACTGCTGCTGAATCAGTGGAATCTGAAGGAAAGAGTGAGCCCGAACAGCTTGTTGAGTCTGACGAGAGGGTTGATATTGATGAGGACAGTGATACTGAGGAGACCATGGAAGAAGAGGTGGAGTACGAAGAAGTGGAAGTAGAAGAAGAGGAAGAAATAGAAGAGGAGGTGGAAGAAGAAGAAGATCAGAATGTTGAAAATGCTAATGGAGATGATGCTTCTGAGACTGAAGTTGAAGATGGGGATGAAAATACAAAGCATGCTGAGCTTCTTGCTCGTCCACCTCACGGTTCTGAAGTTTATATTGGAGGCATTCCACATGATGTATCTCAGGAGGATTTGAAAGGCTTTTGTGAATCTGTTGGAGAAGTTACTGAGGTGCGCTTTTATGCCATTTGTGAGGAATATTTTGTCTTTTACTCGAGATAAAGACTTTTTTTTTGATAGGAAGTTAAGGCCTCGTTAAAAACCCCCTTCATGATTAACGGAACACCGATTGGTGTTCCTTAATCAGCGGAAGGAGGAAAAGAGTGCCTCATAATTCATTAATAAGTAGAAAAATACATAATATTTAAAACTAACAAGCCCCTTACAAAAAACCCGAAACACAACAAGAACACCTCTTACGCTCAATAAAACAAATCCCAACCCATCAAACAATAACTATCCAATACCAGCCTTAGCTAAGCTATCGGCTTCTATGTTTGCCGTTCTGTCAATCCATTTGATAACTCCTTCCCAAACTCTTATCATGGCAACAATCTCTTTAACAATATGAAGGAAAACACTAGGACAACTATCTAAATTCTTAACCCAATCCACAACAAGCTTGCTATCAGATTCAACAATCCATCGATTCTTAAACCTCTGAAGGTCATGCTCAAAGAAGAGTACACCCCTCTTGATGGCAACAAGCTCCAGCAAAGTTGGAGGTCCAGGATCTGCAGATTCTTTAAAAGAACCCAAAATCTTACCAGCCTCATCTCTTAGTAAACCACCCACACCACTCTTTCGCCAATCATTGCAAACTGTTGCATCAACATTCAGTTTTAGATAACCCTTTGGAGGAGGAATCCAGGACACAATATTAGTAGCCGAATTTCTGGAAGAAGACTAGAAATCTGCAATAGAAGGGTCACTTATCAGGGAATCTTTAGAAATAGTAACCTCATTGAACTTAGCTAAGAACCAATAAGCAAGCCTTAGCCTAGCCATGAAAAATAACTCAATGTGATCCAAGGACCTTCCTTCAAACACCACGGCATTCCTAAATTTCCAAATGGTCCAAAGCACCATCCCCGGAATTAAGGACCAAATAGAAGAAGAAAACATCATGTCATTCCAAGCAAGCAAAAAGCCTTGTGCATTTCCATGAAGGACCGAACTAATATTCCAAAAACTTATTCCATAGGGACCATGCCGCCGTGCAAGAGAAAAATAGATGAGGAATAGATTCAATCTCTCTTTTACACAAAGGACAAGAAACATCAACAATCCCCAAAACCCCTCTTTTTTGAAGCTCAAACTTAACCGCCAATTTGTTATGGGCTACTTGCCACATAAAGGTTTCAAATTTAGGAGGCATCAATCCCTTCCAAATACATTTCTCCCAGAAACTATCTTTTACCGATTCAACAAAACAAGTCTTCATACAAGAGTTAACAGTAAAAATGCCTTCCTCATTCCCTCTCCAAAGCAGACCATCTCTTGACTCGTGGGATAGGCTGAAATTATGAATGATGGCAAGAAGATTAGAAAATTGTTCTAACTCCCAATCACATAGATTCCTTCTCAACTGGACAAACCAAGACCAACCCGATGAATTGAACTCACCAAATTCCTTAATTATCCCAAACTGATTCGATGAAAGAGCATATATTCTCGGGAAAGCAGTCTTCAAAGGATAATCAAGGGCCCAAATATCTACCCAGAACCTGATTCTCTCCCCATTACCCACTTTGACTTGGAACATGCTACGAATCTTGGCACCAAACTCATCCTCTTTAAAATGATTATTAACCACCGATTTCCAAATCCAAGAAGCATTTGTAGGAAATTTTTTAGAGAAAGAAATCAGATTAGTGTCCTGATTATATTTGGAACAAATCAACCTCTTCCAAATTGAATCACTGTCATTAGCAAACTTCCAAAACCATTTCTCTAATAAGGCCCTATTCATAAAATTAAGATTTGGCACACCCAAACCACCACAACTTCTTGATTTACACACTGTAATCCAGTTGACCCAGTGTATTTTCTTAGATTCTGCCCCTCCCCACAAAAAACTGGCCATGATGGATTGCAACTTAGAATTCACTGCTGCTGGAATTTTAAACAGACATATAATATGTAGGCAAAGAACATAATACTGATTTCAACAAAACCAGTCTCCCTGCCAAAGAAAGAGTTCTTGCCTTCCAACCCGACAACTTCTTGAAGAATTTCAGCACAACCGGATCCCACAGAGCTGAAGAGTTCCTTTTTGCTCCAAGCGGCAGCCCTAAATAATCAGAAGGGAAAGAACCAACTGCACACCCAAGATCCCCCGCCCACTCCTTGACCTCTTCATTAGTAATATTAATGCCAAATAACTTACTTTTGCTGAGATTAAGCTGTAGACCGGACATAATTTCAAAGACCCGAAGAACTCTCTTAACGTTTAAAATATCCGTCTTAGAGGCATTACAAAAAATGATAAGATCGTCTGCAAATTGCAGATGTGATAGCATGTAAGAACCTTCTTCTTTGCCAACAACCAAACCATTGGACAACCCCGAAGATACCGCCTTAAGAAGTAATTGATTAAGTAGCTCTCCTATAAAATTAAACAATAATGGGGAAAGAGAACAACCTTGTCTGAGACCTCTGGACATTGAAAATTCCTCTGTAGGCAAACCATTAACAAGCACTGAAACTGAAGCAGTGGTCACACTTTCTAATCCAGTTGCACCATTTTATGCCAAAACCCATTTTGTCCATGACTTTGAAAAGAACATCCCAATCCACTGTATCATAAGCCTTCCGGAAATCTACCTTAAACACACAACCCTTCAAACATTTCTTTCTCCAAAAATCTATTCCTTCATTAGCTATAAAAGAACAATCCAAGATTTGTCGACCTGGAGTAAAAGCAAATTGTGAATCACTAATGACATCGTTCATGCAACATCTCAACCTTCTCGATAGACATTTCGAAAGGATCTTGTACAGTCCACATACTAAACTAATAGGTCTGAAATCATCTAATCCCCCAATGTTGGTACCCTTAGGGATGAGGGTTATGAAGGTGTGATTGATATCATGCTCCCAATTTTTACCCAAGTAAAAATTATGAAAAAATTTCAGAATATCAACTTTCAATGTGGACCAAAACCTTTTGAAAAACCCCATGTTAAACCCATCCGGCCCTGGCGCTTTGTTGCTATCACAAGAATTCAAGGCCTCCCAAACTTCTTCTTCCGTAAACCCCTTCTCTAGGCTTGTACTCTGCTCTAAAGTTAATCTCGAAAAATTCAGCTTGATATCTTCCACTTCTAGGGTAGACTTGAAATTAAAAGTTTCAACAAAATGCTCACGGACACTTACCTTGATGAGAGATGGGTCATAAATGATTACATCTTTCACATTAAGAGCCGTTAAAGAATTCAACCTCCTCCTAATTGAAGCACAAGTATGGAAAATTTTTGAATTACGATCACCTTCTTTTATCCATTTCACCCTTGAATTTTGAATCCAAATTTACTCCTCAATCCTGTATAACTTCCACAATTCTGATCTCAAGGACCGCAATTCCTCAACACTGTCTGTACCCCTCAGTACCTGCTGTGACTGAGAATTCTGCTCTAATTGGTGAATCTTATCTTCTAAAGCAGAAATGGTAGAAGCTGGATATTGATCTCTCCTTCCAGACCAACTTTTAATAGATGATTTTGAGCTTCTAATGATACTCAGAATACATGCTTTTCTATTAACTTTCTTGCAATCTTTAATAGCTGTAACAACCTGCTGATCAAACCCGTCCTCATTCATCAAATAGTTAAACAACCTGAAAGGTTTCTTACCCCAATTATCACCCCCTGTCTGAAGCAATATTGCATTATGGTCAGAAATAGATCTCGGAAGGAGTTGGGTGATATCCGAAAAAGCAGATGAAAAATTAACACTCAGCAGAAACCTATCCAATCTGACAACAGTAGGAACTTCCCAATTGTTACCCCAAGTAAATCTTCCCCCCGTTAATGGAAAATCAATTAAGCCCGAATGATGAACAAATTGCCTAAAAATCTCCATCGAATTTCTGTTTTGTGCTCTACCATCCTTCTCATCTTCTGTTAAATAAGCATTAAAATCCCCTCCTACACAAAAAGGAATACTGATGCCATTCAAAAACAAGCTGAGCTCTTCAAAAAAATCTGCTTTTTCTTCCTCCACCGAAGGTCCGTATACGTTAATAAAACCGCACTGAAATTGATTCAATTTGAACTTCCCTAAAATAGCAATAAATCTCCTATGAATCTGCCTATCTTCTACCTCAAAAAAATTGTCATCCCAACAAGTAAGTAATCCCCCTGAAGAACCTACTGCTGGTGATTCAACATACCCTTGAATATTGTTCAGTCCACTTCTTCTCAAAAAAGACCTCGGACATGCCTCCAATTTTGTTTCTTGCAAAAAGAGAAAGGATGATTTCTTCTCGGAAACCATCTTTTGAACAGCTCGCTGCTTTTCTTTTTTCCCCAAACCCCTGACATTCCAAGACATTATTACTATCTTTGTTTTCATGATGATATGCAAATACCAGTCTCCTCCCCAACTTGACAACCTACTCATCTGACCCCACTCAAACCTTCCTCTAATTTCATGATTTTATTCAAGAAAGCTTCATTCCCTTCCTTAAAAGAAATACCCAACATCTTGCTGATCTCCCAAGTTGTAAGAGCTTCATTTAAAATCGAAGAAAAAGCATTGGATGAAATAGTGGAGACACTTAACTTTTCTAAAGCGTCCTTAATCAAAAACCTTTGAATTCTCCTTTTAGATCTTCCAATCCTCACATCTTCACAATTCTCTTTTGAGTTGTGCTCAACCTCTGGAATTTCATATTGTGCATATCTTAAAATAACAGCATTTTCATTCTGTTTAATTGAACCACCCTCTGTTTGAGATAAGAAATCATGCTCACTACTTCGCCAAAAGTTCCTCACCCGAGATCTTTTATAAACTCTCTTACAACTTCTTATCATCCTTCTTCCCACCGGAGCACTTTTCATAGAAATATTCTCTGCTGGGTGAATCTGACAAACACTCCCCTCAGTTAACAAGTTAAAACCTTCTGCAGGCCTCACATTAGCTGAATTCAATGCTGTAAAATTAGAACCACCCTCCACTATTATTTTACTAGATTAAATTCCCTTATTTACTGCTTCCTGCGGACTGCTTGGATTAATGAAACACTGATTATTTAATGGAAACTGAAGCCCAAATATGAGAACTGCTGGACCCTTAGGAATTAGTTTCTTTATTGGGGAAATGGGCTCACTACTATCATCTGTTTGGGCCTGAGAATTACCATTTGAATTATTCAAATTCCTTAAACCCAAACCTGCAAACTCTCCCTTTTTAAAACTCCCAATACTGTGCAAATCTGACATCTCTTCATTAATGCTTATCCCATCCCTGCTGCTTCTAGGAAACTGGGATCCTCTATCAAATTCAACAAAAGCGGAAGTAGTTCCCTGCTCCATCCAGCTATCAACTCTCTTACGTGCTTCCTCAACCAACCGAACAGTACCTGTCTTATCAGTTGACTTTAAGTTAACTTTCATCTCCGACGACTCTGATTTAGTTTCACCTTCATCGGAAAAATTTTCCGGCGTGGAACTGGAGAAAAAACCGGAATAGATAGAAGTCGAACCCAACTTAATTTTCACCTTGTAGGATCTTCCATACGAACCTAAAGTGATAACTTCCGGAACATCAAAAGGACTTGCCACCCTAATCAGAATTTTCACAGCCGAGAGATCCTCCATGTTTTTTGTCGAGTTCTGAATCCCATCTACGATCCCCCACATCCCCGCTAACTTTTCTAAGAAAGCTTCTTGCCAACATAATAATGGAACACCATAGAGCTCCACCAAGCAAAAAGCCATTGGCATACCTCCTTCATTCAACAGAAGTTCCAGTCTATCAAACCAGAAGCATAACAACTCACTCCTTTTCAACCAAGCCTCCTTCATCTCCTCATCTGACTTGAATATAATGACACAAGATTTCCAAATGTGACCCCAGCTTGCAATCTGGACTTCGAAACCTTCTTTGATTAAAGCACTTTGCACCAACTCCATATCAAACTTTTGTTTAACAATGCCCATAAGTGATCTTTTAACCCAGGATGATTGATCAGAAGAAATATGCATCTCCCAAATATTCTTCTTTCCTTTCCCCCTATCTGAAGGATCATTTTTATTCTCTAAATCTCTCAAAACTTTCCTCTGCGGAATGTCCATCAACAAGGCATCCTTATAAGACCTATCATCCCTTATGCTTCTTGTGTGCTGAACTCTTTCAGTAGTATTGGTATTTCCTTCTGTTATCTTCTTTGAAGCACCAGCTAGAACCTTATCTGACCCTCCATACCTTGAGCGATCTTTCTGATATTTTGTAGCTCCAACAAATATTTTCCTCCCATCTAACCATATCCCATTTAAATTGTCAACTGCATTCCACATTCCTACTTCATTATCAAACTGAACGAAGGCAAACAAGTAGGATTTATACTTTGGTTTGTTCGTCTCATTTGGAATAAAAACTCTAACCACATGACCTTGAGAGAGAAATAAATCTCTTAATTCTCTTCTAGATACTCCCTTACTAAGATTATCAACGAAAACCGTCCAACTCTCACCGGAAGATTGACCTTTCTTTCTTTCTCTCCCTACTTGGCTGATTCTCTCTCTCATTTTTCAGTCTTTTGTGTTGATGTTTTGAAAATTACATTCAATACTTTATCATAAGCTAACCAAGATAAATACTTACATCATACTCTATGACGACAGGTTCGGATTATGAAAGATAAAGATTCAAGTGAAAACAAGGGCTTTTCATTTGTGACCTTTAGAAGCGTACAATTGGCCTCAAAAGCCATTGATGAGCTAAATAATACTGAATTTAAGGTGATGAGTCTTCTTATACATCATGTATATGTTAACATTGCCCAACCTAATAAGTATTGCTTCTTAACCTGAAAGGAACTTACAGATTTTTAGCTGTGATCCATATGAACTCTAAATTTAGATAAACAATCACGTATGCAGTATGCCTTCCCATTTTCTCTTTGTTTCTAACAAGTAACAACAGCATTCTTAGGTTTGATACTTTCAAATATGTTTCTTTGATTGCTGAATCTCTCTCCCTCAGGGTAGAAAAATTAAATGTTCTACATCCCAATCAAAGAATCAATTATTTATTGGTAATATTCCTAGAAGCTGGAGAGAGGAACACCTAAGGAAGGTTTTGTCAGATGTTGGGCCCGGAGTTACTGGTTTGGAATTGGTGAAGGTTAGTTTAATGAACTAGTGCTTTTCTACTGTAATTCTAGTATTGGAGACTACTATTGACTGTTGATTCGAAAGGGTTGTTTAGTGGTAATGTAGTCTGGTGTATCCATTATGTGCTTGCAGGATATGAAGAACTTAAGTAATAACAACAGGGGCTTTGCCTTTGTTGAGTACTATAACAATGCATGTGCTGAATATTCAAGGCAAAAGATGATGAATCAAGAATTCAGGCTTGGTTATAATACACCAATTGTGAGCTGGGCCGATCCCAAAACTACTGATTCTGCTGCTGCTGCTCAGGTATCATTAAATTGTTATCTTACGCTTCCTGGCTTCCTGCTATTTGCTTTTTGCAGTTAATCTGTTAAGGCATGTCTCACTGGGGATGTTTTTCCTCCATATCCCACTCTTTTAAAGTGAAGCTGACTTGCATTCATTTCAGTCTGTATCTTCATGTGCATTGGTAACTTAGATTCATCTCATACGAAGCAATCACCTTAACTATTGATTCTCCCTAACGAGGACCATTGATTGTGTCTTTCTGTGTATGGAGAAAAGATATCAGTTAGGGAGGCATGGGGAAAATTGTCGAAGTAGTTTTTATATTCATATCTTTTATTAGGGGATTGGCATTGGCACACACAGGTTTTGTCGCTTCATTTTGACCTTGGAGGTCATGGGTTCAAGTAATAGAATCAGCTTCTTTGCAAATGAGTTTAAGCTGTGTACATCTGGCCCTTTCCAAACCCATAATGCAGGAGTCTCTTGGACTGGGCTGTCCTTCATTTTTTATAGCTGAGAAAACTGTTAAATTTCTTACTAATGTTCTATATCATTGCATGATATTTTTCCTTCATGGATTTGTTACATGGACTACTCTTTTCCTAAGCCAAATATTTCATCGTAAGTGAATCAGTTTTCCTTTCTGGTGGTCATCGCCTTGATTGCAATTCATTTGGTGTCTTCCAAACCATGTTTTGGAATTGTTAATTTGAAGTTAACCTGTATTATGCAGGTGAAGGCACTTTATGTAAAAAATTTGCCCAAGGATGTCACTCAAGATCAGTTAATGAAGCTATTTGAACATCATGGAAAGATAACAAAAGTGGTTCTACCTCCAGCAAAACCTGGACAAGAAAGAAATAGAATTGCTTTTGTTCATTTTGCTGAGAGAACTTGTGCTATGAAAGCTCTGAATAGCTCAGAAAAATATGAACTAGATGGTGATTACTGAATCTTTATCCTTCTAGCGTTTTTGTTTACTAATATCTAATTCTGAATGTCATTGTTCTGTTTTTCAGGTCAAGTGGTGGAATGTTCTCTTGCAAAGCCTCTTGTGGATCAAAAGAGTCCACACCGGGGGTCAAGTTCTGAGACATCAGGTTTTCTTCCTTATCCACCTCACATTGGCTATGGTTTCATCGGGGGATCTTATGGTGCTGTAGGTCCAGGATATGGTGTTGCAGGCCTTCCACAGGTGAGATCTCTGTATGTTCCGATGCATGTTTGACTGCTTCTATATCTGCATATTTTTTCTCAATACCCAGCTGGTGATCATTAGTCTTTATTTTCAACCTCTGCATTTGTCCTGTGCATGTTGGTGATATCCTTGTTAAATATTCAGTTTTGTGATGTGGCTTATCGCTGATAGTTTTGTTGCTATGCTTCTGTCTGAACCCAATCTTCAGTGAAGTAGGTTTTTGGAAAGACATTGGATGTGATCCTATATTTGGCTTTTATAGTTAAGAATTTATATGTTTTGTAAGTATTGGTCTTGCTTTAGATCGGCTTTGCTTTTGGATACCGGGTTTGTCTTTTTTCTCCTGGCTTAGAAAATATTTTCAGACCTGTTTCCAATAGGATGGCAATCAAATGAGTGCTCAACGAAGATTCAGAGAGATAGTTAGCTTGACCTTTTGCCTCGAATTGCCACATGTTGAATGTCTAACTTTGATCAGGAATATAGTTTATGATGTAATGGACTGCGTGTTTTGACCTTTGTGATGCCAGTCAAGAAGTAACAGAATGCTTTTAATCTCTTTAGTCTTTATTATCCTTATGGTTACTCGTTCTATGAGTTACCGAGATTTAATCTGATATAAAATTTGTCAGCCACAGCCATTAATCTATGGGAGGGCACCAACTCCAACTGGCATGTCAATGATGCCAATGCTTCTACCTGATGGCCGAATTGGATATGTCCTGTAAGTTCAGTATCGGTATTTTCTTTTTTATGTTTTGTTCTTCTAAAAGCTATTTCCATAAAATATTTGGCCAATGTCATGTAAAAAGACATTGAATTAGGTGGCATTTTCTTTGAGGGTCTGGTTTACCGATGCAAATAAATTAAACACTTTAATGGTCTCATCTAGATGACAAAATATGATTTATCAAAATCAGTAAACAGAAAAGGAGTTCTATTTCCTTTTTCCTGGTTCTTTATTCCCTTTGTTTTCGTATAAATCTCACTATGGATCTTATTATAGATCTTCAGTGACATTCTGTTGTTTTGGTCTTATAGTAGCATATGCCTAATGATTTAATACAATTTATCATCTACTAACTCAGGCAACAACCGGAAGCTCAACCTCGAAGCCCACCTCTACATCAGAGAAATAGTAAAGATGGTGGCAATTCAAACAGGAGAAAGCACAGCAACGATAGCCGGGGGTATCGACCATACTGATTGCTTTTTATTAGGTTTATTTTCATGGTAGATGGAGAGTTTATTTACTCATTCCCCAGCAGTGATCTGCGACCGTTATAAACCAAACTGTGATCAAAATGATTGTGCATGAAACAGATATACTTCATTTGACGATGCGGTCATGTTCATATTGATCATTGTCCATGAAACAAATATACTTCATTTGATGATGCTGTCATGTTCATATCCATATTTGATGATTAAAGCACGAACATTTTGGCCTTGATTATTGTGTTTTTATCTTCTTTTTCTTGCTTAAAGATTTGGGTTTTTTATTTCCCATCTTCTGTTTGTTGAGAGAAAAACAAAAGGTTCCAATCCAACCATAAAATCCATTAAAGTTAAGCCAAGATAGGTGAATTTCAAAACAAGACAAAAAAGGAAATAAAAATTATAAAGAACATGGGATTACAATTCCCAATTTAGCAACAGTGTTATTATTGCTGAACTCACATTCATGATTATTTCAACCTGTTTTAAGGGATTGTTATTTTTTTAGTTCTTAAGTTTGATTGGTTGCGTGAAATATTTTGAATAAATACTAAATTATAATCAACCAAAATTATTTAAAAAAAAAAAGAAAATGATTATCTTCTTCTTCCTCTGCTTTATAGTCATCCTGTTTCCTTTGCTTGGTTTTGGTTCCATTTTTGGTAGATTTCTCTTCTTTTTGGCCTCAGATTCCTTGTCTGCTCCGCATTAGGAGATTTTGTTTTGTTCGACCGTGGCGGAAAGGTAATGTATGAAAATGCGAGCGCCTTCAGTGAAAGTGAGGTGGGTGTCTTTGAGAACGTTGAAATCGTAATCCGGTGAACATTTGGAGGGCTTCTCTTTCACCACTCGGCACGATAGCCTTCGGCGGCTGTTCTGCCTCCGATAGCACTTTCTTCATTTCCTCCCCGCCTCCTTTTTTCTTGTTCTTTTTCCACCAGAAAATTGTTTTTGGGGGCAATTACAAAGCCAAGGATTTTGTTTCCCGCCATTGCTTTCAAGGCGTTTAGGCTGTTAAAGGATCCAGGCCGTTGGACTCTGGCCCCGTCGGGTTTACCCCTTCAGTATTTTGTTTGGGTAAATTCTACAGATGATCCCTTATTTTTTTTGTTCAATTTTATTTTAGTCACCAGTTCAAAAAAATATGGTTTTAGTCCTTTACATTACCGGTTCGATCGATTTGATCCCTCATTCATTAACTATCGTTAACTCATTAACAAAAGTCTAGATTTACTCATGTTAACTCTCATTAATTTATTAATAGAAGTCTAAGTTGAGAATTATAAAATGAAGTAAATAGTAATCTTATAAATCATAATATTATTTTATCAAATTATTAAATTTTATTACACTCGTGCCCTCAAAGAAAAAATTATATATATATATATAATTAGAGAGAGATTTATTTAATTAATGATGATAAATAAATTATAAAAATCTTAATCCAATTTTATTAGTTTTATGTTCTGTCTTAAAAAATAGTTTCCGGTTATTTTATATAGCGCATATTCATTTAACTTTTCAGAATCCAACTCATTATTGTTATTAATTGCCCATATTTCTCAAGAATTTTATAGGATGAGGTTTGTTTGTAATTTTTAAGGTAAGCTGGGGTATTCATTTTTATCTTGTATAGGAAGATGATAAAGCTGCTCGAATTTTTTATGCAAGATGATCCATGGAGGATTTAGCTTTTTGAGATTCGAAAGACACGTTTCACAAGAAAAACGTTTCTAATTTACTAATGGTAAGGATGCATGCATCACAAATCTAGGATCTGTCCATGTGAACTGTGTTGGAAGCAAAATGAAATTGGATCACTATTTATTTTTATTATTATAATATATCGAGAAATATTAACTAGGATTATTATTATTTATTATAGATAATAATTTGATATATCAGTAATGGGGTTTTTAAATTTCATAAATATGTTAAATAAACGTCATATGTTTTGTTTTCTATAAGCACTCGGAGTTTTTTAACCCGTTTATATAATTAAAATTTTACTTTTTAATGAATCTAATTTACAACTCAAGTTAAGGTTATATTTTTTTAAAATACTATATTTAATTAATGATTTCTTTTCAAATTTGGTCCAAGTAATTTTTTTGACAAATTTTAAATCTAATCTTAATCTTATCTAGAGGAGAGTAGAATAGAGATTTCAGAGAAAGAAAGGGAAGTACTCCACTATATGTCTAAAACCCTTACTATAAAGAAATACATGTGAACAAAAATAAGCAGGTTGATCAACCGACTAAATATGTTTGCTCGTAGATATGAATTCTTAAATAAATATATAAAAGACTGATTGTTTGATAGGTTGGTGATGATTTTTTTTTTCTTATCATAAGCGATATTAATACACAGTCATGTATCTTTAATTAGATGCATAATAATAAATTTATAATATTCTTAATAAACAATAAATAATATATAAGATCTATTCGAAATTTTATTATTTACAATCAACAATCATATTATGAATGTCATTCTATAATCTCAAGAGTAAAAGGATAATTTTTTTATATTAGCCTCTAATAAAAAGGATTTATTTTTATTTTTCAAGGATATATAAGAAGAAAACAATTCTTCTCTTCTACACTGAAAATTCTTATAAGAGATTATGTTATCACAAATTTATATTAGAAGAGGTGAACTTCTCATGACCATTATTAGAGATGGACTAAAGGGAGAGCGAGTGGGGACAATTGCTCTTATAAAAATTCTAAATGATCATATATTTTAGAAATTTTCTTATTATTTTTATTGATAATTTATTTTCGCCCCTTAAAATTTTATAAATTCGTTTCACTTTAAAATTTTAAAACTTTACCCCAATGTAAAATATTGAGAGAGTAATAAAGTTATGAGGCATTTACTCTATCTCTTGTGTACTTTGTTCTTAAGTCTCTTTGTGTTGCTGTCTCTCTTGGTGGTTAGGAGTAGCCATGCTTGTGTTTGAGCTTCCACACCAAAGTCCAACATTGGTAGCTTGGAGTAGCTATGTTGGTGTTAAAACTTCCGCATCCTAGAAGCCTTGAGAGATTGGTTTCAACCTTGGTGAGTTTGCATGCTCACTAGGTTTGAGTAAGGCTTACTTAGTCGCAGAGAAGACCCAGAAGTGTCAAGAAACGTCTAAGGCCGCACGTCCTGTCATACCTTAACTCTGATATTAAGACAATACAAAATATACTCTCTTATTACACATTAATAGAATTAAATTTATTTATAAAAATATATCATAAATATAGCATCTAATAATTCATAAATGATTTACACAAACCCTAATGTAGCTTTTGTTTAATGTTTTGACTAATAAATAATGCATTATGGCAACAATGTACTATAAATGGTCCATTAATCCATTGAAGCCGCATCTACGTGTAATGGTTTAAAAATCATTTCTGGAAAGCTTGTGCATTTAGGTAGTGAAGTATTAAATTTGAGAATTAAAAAAGATTATTGATTTAACCTTGTGATTCGTAAGCATTTGATTCTCTTTGATTGGCTCAAGAATTGGGATTCCACCCTATTGGCCTTCATGTCTCGACATACAATTTTGGGATTGGGATTTTTTAACCACTAATTTAAGATGCTTTTCTTAAAAAAAAAGTAATTTATATATTATTTATTAGAATAATAATAACTATATTTTATTAAATATAATAATTTAATTTGTTCATAGTTTCTGAAATTGTGACTTGTAAATTAAGAGATTTGTCCAAAAAAATATATTGAATGTTTATGATTATTGTATCTTTAAAAACACAAACAAGCAATATTTAATCTTAATTTATTTATATAACTCATAATGTACAGAAGAAATTTAAGAAATAAATATAAAAATGATAATATGAAATTAAGTGAAAACAATAAAGTTCTTAATATGCTAGAATAACAATAGAAAAACAATCTATTTCAGTATACAGAACAATATTTCCAAAGACTATATAGGAAACAACATGAAAACCACAATCCAAATCGAAAGGGAGAAAGTTCCTTGACATAATCTAATTTGGTTTCCAATGCACATTCCTAAATTCAGTTTGATTGCTTGGATGTCTTTGTTAAACAGATTTCCAACTAAAGATCAGCTACTCAAAATGAGAATTTCAACAGAAGGGACTTGTGTTAATTGCAGAGACGATCAAGAAGCAAGAAACTATATTTTCTGCCAATACACTCTTGTTGTTCAACTTTGGAGCTCCGTCCTATCGCTTAATGGCTTGAAAAATACTTCCTCAACTTGGAAAGGGAAATCCTTACTCATCACAATTCTAAAGATTTCTTGGACAACCTATTTTTACACATTGTGGGAGGAAATGAATCACAGAATCTTCTAAGGTCGTCACAGCTCTACCGATGAATTGCTCAACGTTATTATTGAAGCTGTGCGAATACAACTTAAGGGTAAAAATATTAATAGAGATGATAGAATTAATTCTAACCTATGTATTGCTTGGGGTATTACTTAACCAATCTTTGTTTTCGTAACAGCTGTGTATAATTCTTTGTATTGATTGGTTGTTTGTATTTTGTAGCAGAACACTACTCTTTGGATAATAAAATTTGATTTATCCAAAAAAAAAAACATGAAAACCAGCTGAAGCCTTCTTCAAAATCTTCATCAATTTCACCATCTTTATTAAGTATTTTTTTTATTAAAGAATTTATATATATATATATATATAATTTAAATCTAAGTATCAACTGTTAGTGATTTCAAGTTTTAACCGTCTTGGCTACCACAATGTCACCTTTCAACTAGGGCCCTCCTCCATCTCCTGGAACGGATTCCTCAGTGATTTTCACATACCTGCTGACAAAATGAACCAACCAACAAACCCATCCATCAATCATATGTTATAATGGAAATCAAATAATATATGCATAAAAGAAACATCAAATCCATGTTTGTTGGTACAAATATTTCAGTTATTGTTTTCATCATGTTCCTTTTCCCTCTATGGAAGATTGATGTTGTTTCAGTATCCTAAAATTTACATGGTTGTAAAGTACAATATTGAGATCATATGTATGAAACTTGTTTGATGTTCACACTTCCATGAAAATAAGACACTGTTGATGTTGTTAGTAGGCTACTATTTTAGGATATGATCGGAGTAAGTGCGATACATTAATAT